TGTTTTGCTTCTGTGCTCAACATGTCCTATAATAGAAACTAATAGCTGTCCATTTATATACACTTTGTCTTTGCCCTGTCTTACTGCTATTTTCTTCTGCAGAGGTTTCTCCTTTTGAAACTTATTTAATTTTGTGTCATTCAGAAATACTTGCTAAAGATGATCGAATTGCTTTTGTATACCACGAAAATTATTATATTTTCAGAGCCATCCTGAAACATATGGGATTGCAGCAAAAGATGACCCATTGCCAAGCATCTAAAAAATGGGAGAACATGAAGAAGAGATACAAGGTACACTTCTCTTCTACTTAGATTTGTAAAACATTTTGAAAAATCTCTCTCTTTACTTTTTTGCCCACTCTCTGTCTCCTCAGGAGTTAAAGAATCCTCCAGAAGGGGTGAAAGCGTTTCCTGAAATGTGGCCCTTTTTCTCCTTGATGGATGATGCTATGGAGGGTCGGCTGGAGGGCAACGCCCCCATCCTCAAGGCCTACTCCAGCGATCACAACAATGGGGACTTCTTACCCGTTTCCCAACCCAAAAAGAGGAAGCCATCCACCATGGAGATATCCTCTGCTTTGATAGTTGACGGACCTGAGATCGAGGTTTCCATGAACAGTGATGTGGACGGGGAGGAGGTGGCAGTGCAGCAGGGAAGCCTGGAGATAGGCCGCATCATGCAGGAGGCAGAGGACGAGAAAAATAGGATGGACAGTCAACAACAGGTTAAAGAAAGAGAGAAAGAGGTGATGGAAAGGGAGCGTCTGGTACTGCAGAGGGAGAGAGCGGTGCTGGATAGAGAGATCGCTATTCTGGACCGAGACCGGGCTTTGCTGGAGAGAGAGAAGGCGACGATGGAGAGAGAGCGGGCGACAGTGGAGAGAGAGAAGGCAGTGATGGAGAGGGAGAGGACGATGGTGGAGAAGGACAGAGATGCTGTGTACAAGGACCGGCTGACTCTGGAGCAAGAGAAGGCGAAACTGGGAAGAACTTCTGCAGCAACAGAAAGTACCAAGAAGATTGCAGAAGACAGCAGTGAGGTTAAAGAGTCAGACACCATGAACAGGAAGGAGCGGTTCTTTACATTGTTTGAAAAACTTATTGAAAATTTGTAAAAAGAAAAAAAAAAAAATACAACTGCACTTTGCTATATTGTTTTGGGTATATTTAATTTAAAAAGAGCATTTATTTTTGTTAAATTATAAAATCTTGGAGGCTTTCTGCACAAACTGCCCCTGACGAAACATTTGTCTGTTTGCACAAATACATTGTTTTGAAAGTTTCCACCTTGTCTGTATCTTCATGTTTTTTTTTTTAAATACACAATCACTTCACCTACAAGTTAGCAATGAAAACGTTGAGCCACTCCCAAGTTTGGAGAGGTCTTCAAAACGACTTTATTCACTTGTGGTTATTCCATACAGAGCACACAATAGCAAGCTATTAGCATTATTCTTAACCCCATCCACAAATATAATCAACATCCCCCCTCCCAAATCAAACAATAGTCTTGAGTTGATCGACTCTAGACATTAGAGTCTTTGGTAAAAGCTATTGTGCACTGTTAAAACATCACTTTTTGAAGTGTAATATACCAAATATTGCAGTTCATGTAAAAAATCTTTATTTTTTTTTTTAGAATATATATTTTATATTACAGTACAGACTTTACAACAAATGATTGTGTTTAAATGCGTCTTTTATTGCATTAGATACTCAATTTACCTTTCATTAAGCTCCAGCTTCAATAAGTTTATGCTAGTATACATTGCCAAAAGTGTTAGATTTCGTCATTAATCTTAATATTATTTTTACAAAACAAACATATTTAAACAATATATTACTGGTTGTATTTTTTGCCAGTCATGACAGAACACTAAACAGAAACATACATGCCATTCCAGGGTTTTTAATAAATTGATTTCTCCACCTATTTACTTTAAATCAAGTTGCGGAACAGTTTGGCGTCTGAGAAAGTTCTTGTGTGTACGTGTGTGTGTGTGTTAGTGTGTGTGTGTACATGCATTGGAGTGAACAAGAGAGTGAAGGTTTTAGTGTGTGTGTGTGTTTCTGGCATAAAAATCTGAACAACAGGAAGAAGGTGCAGTGGAGCAGTGTGTATGTGCTTAATCATCAGACTCTGACTCATAATTTATGTGTTCTTGGGTGATTGTGAAACAAATTTCCACACAGTTTTACTGATTTCTATGATATTGCAGCAGCATGTATGACAGTTTATTGGTAACACACTATTGCAGCTGATGGTTTGGTTTAGAAGTGAATGTGTTGGATGTATGCGTGCGTCGCCCGTGTGTGTCAATATGTACAAGTATGTGTGCATGTGGTTGTATTTGTGTGCAAGAGTGTAGGTCGGGGTCTGTGTGGTTAAATGAGATCCCCGATGGGTATACGAGGCAGGCAGACGTAAGCCTGTGGGGTCCTGCTGAGGTTGATGGGGTTGCCGTCCAGACGGATGTCCTCCAGTGCGTTCCTGATGTAGTTGAAATCTTTCAGGTTGCAGAACGTGTCCTCATGCATCATCTGAATATTGTTACGCTGCAATAGAAGAGGAGGAGGATTCATGATGATCAGCCAGTTCGAGGTGAGTAAGAAGAGTAAGAATATCTTGATTTGTAAAAGACAGTGTAGCGTCACTGATGTGCTGCTGTTGTGAGACTTGCTTCAGTAAATGCTCCATTTACTCATAATTAAAGTTTGATTTTATTGAGCAATTCCTCAGCTCATCTCTTGCTGATTTTTAAAAACTGTCTATTCACAACGGTGTAACATAAAGAGACGTGCAAAAGAGCAACAGCTTTGCATCGTCAAGTAATTGTATGCCTCACTAATGAGCAGCACCTGAATTTACTCTTCCTAAACGCAAACCTCATTTGTGTAGTCAAGTACTGCCACTTGGTGGTCAGATGTATAACACAAATACACACAAAACAAAGATGGAGCTACAGATATGTTCAGGAAATCATTCAACAAGGTACCAAATATATAATCTGTCTGATAAAAGCTTAGGTGTACAGTATTTTTCATTATATATGTAGTTATTTGTAACATTGTTACTTGATTTTCAGAGAAAACCCCTGATTACATCAGTAAGTTGTTGAAGATGTTGTTTGTCTTATATCCAATTGTAGGGTTCTAACCCTAATATTTAAAATAGTCAGATGAATTTATATAATAGGTAATATTGTAGGGTCCAAACCATAATATATGAATTATTCAGATAAACATGCATTTTATATAATATTGTAGGGTCTTAACAGTGTTATTTCCTAAATTTCTCAGTTGGAAACCACTTTAACGTCAACATCTGTTATGTTAAATGTGCTGTATCAATGATGGCAACTTGACTAACTGACTGGAATATAGACTTTTTTAAATTGTTTTTTGGTTGTCTACAGTTTGCTGACATCATTTTATTTAATCAAAGCTCCACCCTCTTCAGCATTTGTCCGAAGTGTAATGAGACCAAAGAGTAACAACACCTGTGTGGATGTTTAGAACCAGTAATGGTTTAGTTTCCCATATTGCCTCATCAGTTTTGTTTTTGTATTTACCGTATTTAAAAAAAACAAAAAACAAATAGTACTAGAAATCTGAAGAATGCTGAGAACTTGCTTCATGATTTGAACTCATCATTTTCAGTGCTGACCAGAGGTGTAAAGTGATGAGACTAAAGCAGGTATACCTGTAGGTGTAGAGATCGCAGGCTGTCTGGTAGAGGCACTGGGATGTAGTCAATGTGGTTGTCTGTGAGGTACAGGTACAGCAGGGCAGTCATATCCTGTGTGCAGCGAGAAAACATACAAATGGTTATTGGCCTGGACCTTTAGAAGTTGGCTTGACAGTACAATCTTTACAGAATGGAGCTGTAAGATTGTGCTTTTTCTCCATTCATCTGCACTCTTGTCCTGCTCCTGTTAACTTGCTGTCTTCCTCTCGACAACACTGTCGCCTGTATTCAGCCGAGAAAGTTGAAATACAGATCCTGCTGTCCACTTATCTAAATAAATGCTTTAGTTTGATGAATGGGCCTCTTTTTTGCCCATTTCAGCATCACACAGTTTGACATTTTCTTCAACAATTTAACTCTGAAGAGAACACCAGTATAACAACTACTCTGAATTGTGCTGTCCAGTATTAAAAGCACGACAATATTTCTTCTCTCTAGTTAACTGTGGCTTTTTCTGAATTACTTCACAAATATCTATGATTTTTGTACTGCAGTTACAGGTTGGTTCGTGGTCTGTATGCCCTCATACAGACTTTAATTTTCAGTAGAGAAGGTATACGTACTTTGAACGCCTCTGAATGAATTCCCTTTGTGCCAATGTTGTTGTGGCTGGCATCAATGAGGGTCATGGTCTCTGGGAGACCCGGCAGCTGGGAGACGTAATTTTCTCGGATCACCAGCTCCTCCAGGTTAGGCAGACCCAAAAATGCCTTTTCATCAATGGACTTTATCTCGTTTGCAGTTAAGTCGATCCTCTTCAGCTTGTCTGGAAGGGAACGAGAAAATATGCACTCTGAGACACTGATGGGTGCACTTAAATGTTTGACCTTCACCTTCATATTTAGTTTAGGTCTAATATTTATACATTCAGACTAGAAACATACTCATGGAGGCAAAGTCGGACTTGTTGATCTTGGTGATTCTGTTGTAGCGGGCATAGAAGTGAGTGGTGTCTTTGGGTAGAGGTGGAACACTATCCAACTTCAAGTCATCACAGTAGACTGAGCCACCAAGGCAGGTGCACAACAAGCAAGTGGGCATTCCTGGAACACATGGATAAGAAGAAGAAAGTATGAGCTAAGATATGAAATAAATGACAGACAGAATGCATGGTAGTTCATTGAGGAAGTCTCAAAGCCCTCCCAAGACAAAGGTTGAAATCCACAGGGCAAGAGTCAGTCCAGGATTTCAGGTTCTTGCAGACAAGTTCCAAAGGGAACCGAGATTGTCCGAATTCAGTTCAGTACTGACCTCGTCTGTCAATCACAGGCTCTTCAGGCTCTTCTGGCTCTTCAGGCTCTGGCAATCCAGAGCTCACTGACCCTTCTACAGTGCCAGCACCCTCCTGAGGGGTTTCTGGTGTAGTCGGAAGCAGCCCCTCCTCTTGTTAGAGACAAGATTAGGTGTTAAAGAAACAGGTTAGATCAGCATTGACATGGAAGAGGACGTCTGGCAATCAGCAGCCCACTGTTTGCCGCAGTATGTTACACGTTGTATCTTAGCAGTGTTAACCAAGTGCTTAAGGCATTTAACTGATTAATGCAAGTTAAATGAAGATTATTTTCTGGTGTTAATAACATGAAATGTGATTTGCTGAGTGGTTACAAACAACATGATGGTTAGTGAGCAACAAAAACCCATTTTAAAGGAAACAAGTTCAAATGGCTCCCAGCTGCCTTCATGCTGGGATACAAAATTACATAACTATAGTGGATGAGGTCTAAACATTTCTGTGGCAGTAGTTATTGCAGTGTATACTTTTGTCACGGTTTGCCATCGTTGGCAAATTACCACTCATATCAAGTGGACAGCTTAAAGTAGTGTGTACATTTCCAGTCATCCAGGTCATTGCTTCAGAAGGCAGCTGGACCTCTGCTTTTGGTTCTTGAGAATGCTTTACCTCTTCTTTAGTTCAACCTGACGATTGGGGCATCCCACATTTAAACTGTCACCCCAACTAACATGGATATTGGTCCATTAACAACCCAAGACTCACTCGAGGTGTAAATGTTTGTGAAACTGCCAGGTGAGGGATGACCCAATGATATTAATGGTGGTAAAACTTTCTGGGCAGTGATCTACAGACTGCATTATAAGTATCTGGAAAGTGTTGTTGTTGACCCCCTCCTCTGTTTAAAGATGGCTGATCCAGTATAACACAGATCTAAAACCATCTCTCTTCAATGTTCAGAGTATGATTATTGTTGTGCAGTTTGCATAATCATTCACACTTTGAAGCATTTGAGGCCTCTTGGATGAGAGGAGAAACATATTCAAGAACCAAAAAGAGAAGTCCAGTTACCTTCTACTGAAGCTCTTGGGACTGCTTTAAGTATAGATGTGACTCAAGATGCATTGAGGACACACTAAGATCTGATCACACAGACCACATCCAACTGGACAATTTGGGTTGCCTAAAACACACCCTGTTGCATACACTGGAAGCTGGAAGTGCATTGTAGCCTCCCACCAACAATGTGTCTGATCTTTACAAATTGAAATGATGTACATGTTTATTTATATGTACAGGAGAGTGGAGCCACATATAATCAGGGCCTATCTTTCCTGTCATTTTAGACTCAGACACTCCAAGCTGCGCTGTTTTTCTGTTACATGGTCTTTCCTGGATATTTGCACACCTGTATCCACTTCCTTGATTAGCCCTCTCAGTATTTAAACCACTAGGTCACCACCTGTGTTCAGACTTTCTACACAACATCTCAAGTGTTCAGTTGCCAGTTGTTTGTCTTATCTGCCTGTTTTTAATCCTGGGCACTGTTTTTTTCCCCTTGTCCTTGTTCAGTTAAACTTGCTTTACCTGTCTTGTTTTGTGTTGTGCTTTTGGGTCTTGAATTCTGAGCCTTCATCACTATCTCTTTTCTGCAAAGAAGGCGGTGACGATGGAACAGAAACAACTCTTTACCTTTTTTTAGAGTTTCCATCCTAAAACACAAAGGTCTAACAAGTGTATTTCCTTTCACATAACATCAAAACTGAATTTTTGGCTGTTTTAAATTCAAATTTTAAGCAGTGTTTACTAGCTCTTCCATGTGTGCTCTGGTGCATGATGCAAACAAGCAGGGATCCACTAATAAAGCAAATAGCCCATCGCACTGGTGCAGTTCTGAAACTCAAGGGTACCTTTCAAGCTGTTGCCCTCCAACTCATTAAACAGTGATGTTAAAGGTGGGGAAGAAAAACCCACATTCTTTTAAAGCAATGCACTGAAATAAAGGGGAAGTGGCCAAAACTGATGAAAATGGCCCAGTACCATTGTTGGCACATTGTCCAATTTAAGTATTTGCTCTTTAGTATACTTTTTCATGTGTGAGGTATAGACTTCAGTTTTCACCCTGCCTTTAACATGTCTTGATTAGATACTGACCTTTAGTGTCAGGGACCAGAGTCACATCAGGGACCTCAGTGTCTCCAGAGCCAGAGACACCAGAAGCCCCAGAGGCTCCGGAGACCTCTGAATCTCCAGAGGCTCCAACATCCCCTGAGACCCCTGAAGCTCCTGAGAACTCCCCAGAAGCACCCGATGCCTCGTGGGGGATAGTGTCGGGAATGAGGGGCAGCTCCTCCTCTTGTTAGTGCCAAGGGTTGGGGTTAGGCGACATGAGGTTAGGAAGTGAAGATGGACAATCAATCAACCAATCAATCACCCTCTCATTACAGATGAGACAGGATGTTAGAATGACAATGATTATGAGTAAAACAAATACATGACGCTCAGTAGCACAAAGTTCAACATTTAACTACATTTAAAAAGGAAGCAGTTAAATGGAATTTAACGTAAAATCACAAAGAATGACAGGTTATTCTTACACACATCAAGAAATGGTGTTGCCACAAACTTCACTAACTGCTCTGTAAAGGTACTAACCTCCAGACAACAATATTATCCCTGAGTCTCCGGACTCAGAGTCCCCAGAAACCCCAGAACTTCCCGAAGCCCCTGAGATCAAAAGATCTCCGGAGAACCCAGAACCAGACTGGTCCCCAGACCCTCCAGAGCCCAGGGGGAGTTCAATGGAAATCCCAGAGCCTCCGGAGGCAAAGTCACCAGAGGCTCCAGAAGTTGCAGATCCCATGGTATCTCCAGATCCCGAGAGATCCCCAGATATCAAAAGATCCCCAGATAACAAGAACTCCCCGGATCCTCCAGAGCTGTGGAGCTCCTCCGAGGCTCCGGAGATGAAGATAATGTCACCAGAACCCCCAGAGGCGCTGGAGACCAGTGTGTCTCCTGACCCTCCAGACCCAGAAGCCCCAGAAGCTCCTGAGGCCCCAGACCCTACGGAGCCCCCAAAATCTCCGGAGACATGAAGAATATCAATGGGCGTCAGACGCAGCTCCACCTCTTGTTAGAGACAAGATTAGGTATTAATAAACAGACAGATGACACTGAAAAAGATCATTAATCAGGTTTGAAGGTCACAGTCATGATTAGGTTAAACAGTAGATGACAAATGGACAAAATGAACACATTTAACCATTAGCTGCTAGTTAAATGGATGACATGCACATAGAGAAGATAATGATAGGTAATGAAGACGATGGGTTTAGAGGATGGACGATTGTTTCTCCGTTGTTTTTTTTTTAGAACGCTGCTTTCACAACTCCATAGTCTCAGGACCCTCTTTTAAAATGACTGAACGTACTCGTGAAGTAACTTTATGTTTTTTGGAATGCAGATCTACATTTGTGTGCTTTTTCAGACCTTTCTGTGTGTCTGGACCCATGAGAACCCCAGATCCCCCTGAACCCTGAGGGACAAGCTGGGGTTTTAGGGGCAACTCCTCCTCCTCTTCCTCCTCCACTTCTTTTTCTGCTTCCAACGAGTCCTCAGGTACAGGGTAGTTGTAGTCAGGTGGGGCCAGTGTTCCAATCTCTATCTGAGAGAAAGACAGCAGCAGTGAGTCAGAAGTATACGAAAACTAGACCCAGAATTCAGCATCAGAAAAGTAACACTTAATCTTTCAACATTTTTCTTATGACTTGAAACCAATGTGTGTTTTGTTCCATTTCTGCCCATCTTGATTGATAATTTTTCAAGAAATAAGACAACTTTACCCCCGGTGCTTTTACACAGACAATCGAAGCAAAGTAAATAACCTCAAGTTGGATTTAGTAATGTGCCATAATTATGAGTAACCATACATGCTTAAGAAACCAGAATCTCAGTCATTAAACTGAATGTCATGGAGGTACAGTATGTAATAGTCAAGGCTGTTTTAAGATAATGGTTGACATTAATGTCAGAATCTCTTGCACACAGAGGAAAGAGGGGCATTAATAGCTTATGGTACACATATTTAATAATGTATAATGGGGTAATATATAAAACCTGCAAAACTGAAAAGATCAGTTTTAGCTCTAGGCACCAACACGAGCTACTTGAAATTCCAGCAACAAATGTTCAACAACAATAATAAAAAGGATATTGGCAATATAACTAGTTCTGTAAAAGATGGGAGTTGGCATTGATACTTTCAAAATATTGATTGTCAGAGGATTTGAAAGTAAAAGAAAATTAAAATCATGAGAATCCAAAGTTCTTGTATTGTCAAACTCTATTATCAGAAAATAGAATCACTGACTAACAACTACAAAATATGTGTTCAGGTTGAATGTGTTGCCCTCTTTACAAAATTTGAAGTAAAATTTAATCTTGTGGCAGAAAGGCTGTTGGATAACAAGAGTCCTTGACAGTTCAGCATAGCTGGAAGGTTTAACAAAATCTGCTGTGTGACTGCTGATGTGGAAATAAAAATTAAAAATACTTAAAAATACTCTGTTTACCATCTTTCTTAAACAATAGCTTGATTTATATTTGAAGAAGTAGTTGTGTTCTCTATTTTCATACAGTTTTGTGAATATTTTTGCAAGCACTACAGTAAATATTCTCTGAATGTATATTTCCACGATTTACATCAGCCAACTATGGTTACAAAGTTTGCCCTTTGTATGCTTGTATTGCCCCCTTCTCTCTACCCTAAATGTTATATGTGGATAAACATTATTTGCTCAACATTGATCAAGTTTTTTTTCTCCTTTATTAACAAATTGTATTCACAGTGAGGTGATAGTTTCAACTATTCTGTGTAACTTATCTAAACAATAAGCCATAGGGTCAGTCTAGTGTATTATGTGAATGTGACGTCCTCATTTCAGATCTGTCCTGATATCTTATACTCCCTCATGCTTTACTCTATGTTAATCCTTTCTACAAGGATTAAAAGGCAATAAAAAGGGGACATGTCACTACAAACAAGTGACTGAAGGTGACACTTTTTTCATCTGCTGCTCATTAAAGGTAGCAGCACAGGACTCCACTGTGTAATATTTTCACCGCTAGATGGCAGCAAACAGTCCAGATTGAAGCATTCACTGCAGGGACAGCAATGATCACCAAACCCAGGTGTAATGACCATGGAGGTCATTTTTGAAGTAGATACACCAGCTGGTTCTCACAAAGATAGAGGTGGTGAACTGTATGTCTTGCCACCAGCTATTAGCACTTTATATGTGAGATGTGTACAGTTCCATGACAAGTTGGTGTCCTTACCAGATGTCAAACTAACTTTATGTTTAGACTCTGTAGGGAACTTTGGTTTATATGTTCTTGCTTATGAACAGAAAAAGGCTGCTGTCAACTTCAGCCACAGATATTACACTTTTTGCGTCTTACAAGAGAGATATTCAGATCCTTCCACTTCATGAAGAGACACTATATATTACATTTTAAAACACTGTGCATTGTGCCACATGTTCAACCTAGTTAGTCGGTTTAAAGCCCCTTTAAGCTTAAATACTGTTGCAGATACATCCAATGCAAAAAACGATGCACATGTTTAGGCTAGTTTCCAAATCTCAAATGACTTCATAAATAAAGACTTTGTTTATCAAATAGACCAGCATGTTTTCCAATTTTTTGTGGGAAAATACATTAAAAGACAACATGGCAAACATTGGCAACCCTTTATGCATTACAGTGTTTTCATTAAAAGCTTCCGGTATACCCATCTGGTGTTTAAATTGCATTTATAGCTGTTGGTCTCTGATGCTTTGGCATTTGATAAAACCTGCAGTTCACTCATTTTCCAGACGAGGGCAATGAACTCCCACACACTGCCACAGGTAGTACCTGACACTCTGTCACGCCCGACAAGCCAGACTCAGCCCTCCAAAGAGGGAATGGTCCTTGTGGAACCAAGACACACATGGTAGCTGCACAGATCCATATCTGAGTCTTTCAGCCCAAGTAATCAGATGTCAGTGAGCAGGCAGATACCAAAGTGAATGTATGTCCAGAGAGTGATGTCAAAACTAAGTCGAATATTCAGGCCACCGGAAATGCAAATGGAAACAAAAAGAGCAGTCAAACAGATCTTTAGCACTGAAGGCTGCATTTTAAAGTTCAGCTGAGACACAGTTTGGGATACAACAAGGTAGGCCTTTGAAAAGTCTTGCACAGAGTTAGCTCACTGCAGCTCTCCCCTTCATTTCCCCCTTTCTCCAAAGCAAACATATACACCCGAGGGGAAAGAAGAGGCGAAAGGCTGGCGACCAAAAACACTGAAAAAAATAAAAAAGTAGCCCTCTGGAAACAGCATGGGAATACAGAATGCACAGGAAGAGATGCAGAATGTCAGCATCAAGCCAAAACCAGATGTTATGTTGCTGCTATAGTATACACTATATCAGTCAGTGTATGCATTCAGCTCAGTGAGTCAACAAAGATTTAGACTGAGGCAGAATTTTTTCAGCAAAACCTCACTTATGGTCACCAGCTTTGTCATTTACCACGCACAAAATGAAACTATGATTTGCTAAGCTGTCAGTCACCCTAAAGACACGATCCATGTTTCATCATCGTATACTGTACAGCATGTACAATGTCAAGTTTCGTGTCCTGTGAAGCCATGTGGCAGTTTTTGAATCAGATTTATGAGGCTCTGCAGCCCGGAGTGAATGCAAACAGATCTTTTGCAGATGCAGATTAAAGGAATAGTCTGGTATTTTTGGAAATGGGTTTGATTTGTTCCTTGCAGAGCTGGCAGTTTGATGATGCTCTCAATCTCACTGAACTTTTGTATGGCAAGATATAATATCTGTGGCTTTTAGAGGATTTTGATCTATAGATTTTGCTACCTTTGGACATAGCTAGATTAGCTGTTTCCCCATCTCGTTATGCTAAGCTATGCTAACCAGCTGTTGGGTGTAGCTCCATATTTAACGCACACAGATGTGAGTGGTATTGAACTTTTCAACTAATTTTCTTTTTCTATTCCCTCAAGAGCCAAGCTAGCTAGACAGAAAAACCAAGGTCAAAATATTCCCTTATCTCAGAATAATAACCACATTAACAACAGAGGAGGACAATCTAATTTTTTTAGATAAGGCAGGAATTTGGATATGGACACACGAGGAGCTACGAAAACTCCTTTAAATACATAATGATAAATTCCAGTGCAACAGCAGTGCAAACAAAACTCCTTTAGAAATTCCTCAACACCTCTGTGACAGTCTGAACAATTAGAGTTAATTAAAAAACACTTTGCCCACCAGCTATACAAAAAAAAAAACAACCTAAACTTAACGTGCTCCTAAAGGCGTTACTCAACAAAAGAGAAGCTGGTGAGAGACAGCCTGAAGCTCTTGGGCCAACTAAAGACCCGGAATGAATCCAAAGTTGGTGATTAAAGCATTTGCAGAGAATTTGAATGCAGCAGACTGAAGACAATTTGCTTGGATAACAGCGTAGATGAGCCCTTACTTCTCTCAAAAGAGACAAGCCCAGAGGAGAAAGAGGAGAAATACCAAACGAGAGCTGGATGTGGAAAGTAAAGACTCAGCATTCCAGAGGCATGGAGCTCATCATCGCTTCATTTCTCCCCTGAGAGCTGATGTGTGTGTGTGTGTGTGTGTGGAAAAGAAAAAAGAAAAACCTGTTTAATTTTTTACTCCTCTTAGGCAACCGCTCTATCTGAAGATCTGCCCCCTCACCTTTAACGGTTTTATCAACAAAACCAAATGAAAGGTCTCTGCAAAGACTTCTCAGCAATCGCAGCTGCGAGTCAAAACTTTGTGTTTATTCATTTCAGGCAACAGGATGTGAGAAATTCTAGTAACTCTAATTGTACTGGTTCTCCTCTTCCTGCTCCCACAGACTCCCACAAAACCTTATGCAATGTGCTGTGTCATATCCAGTCTTGTTAAACAGAGAGACATTATCAAAGCCATTCCCATGCAACACATGGCTCAAATCCCACACTGAGCAGCTCCATGTGTAAGACTCAGCTGTAAAAGTTTGCACAAAAGGGCTCAGTCACGTTGATTAAAGCAAAAAGAAAAAAAAAAGTTGTAGTGGCACCTTTTTTTTTTGTGACGGAGGTGAAATAATTCTACATCTTGTCGTATCTGCTCCACTGGATCGGCCTTAGATAACAGCAGCAGTGCGAGTGCAATCCACATCAGGTTTAACTTAAGTCGCTGGCTCAGAGGGAGCCCGCTGAAAATCCTGTGTGGATGATTTGCCTCGTGCCATCTTGACATTGCCTTGGCCTAATTTCCTTGTTACAAAGAAGTCTAAATGGGAACAAGAAATTTGGCTAAAGCTTGCAACCCCATCGTGCCCTGCAGGCTTGCCACATCACACTCAACTCCATCTGATTTAAAGGGCACTGCTGGAACCCATTTGTACATGGTAGTAACCCTTTCTGCCACTGTTCTCCACTTATCTGTTAAAAGCTGCTGTGCTGAGCAGAACCTGAGCGGAACGCAGGCCCAAAGGCCCAGCAATGTTCATGAGTGAAGCAGGTTATTCATTATGAGAAACAGGTGATTTGAACACCATGGTAGTAATGGTTCCACAGCAGCTACTGAACTTCTGAGATCACCAGCATGCACTTGCTAAAGCCTGGAGAGACTATATGTGTGGGGAAAACAATACATGCAAACAATAATTGTGATGCACGTAAGTTTCCTCTTTCCTCTGTGTTGTGGTTGAACAGAAAGTCCAAATCAATTTTTTGCTCTTGATCAGTCTGCATACCAAAAATGTTCAGTTACTCTTTTATTAGTGTGCTGAAGATTCAAGGGCTTGTAACTTCCAATGGTGGCTGGCCGTAGAATAAACTGAACTATTTTGGACACAATAGCACATAAAATTGGGAAGCAACATCCAAGTGGCTCCTGTTGTTATCCTTGTAAAGCTCCATAAACCTGCCAACCTCAGATCAGAGCCAGTTTACCAATCTGACACACTAGAACATCAGTAATTGTAACAGTCTGTACGTTCTGAAATGTCAGCTTTATACACGTTGGTGTGACATCATTTATATTCATGTGTTTCCACAAGTTTTCCAGGAGAGAAACACATAGAAACTAGTGTACCTCAACCATGCATTAAACAGCAGATGGCACGAAACTGACCATATAAAACCTCTCGAGTGATAAAAGCAAATGTTGCATGAATTCTGTCATTGAAAACTGCCCTCAGTTAAACCTGCAATAACAGTTTTTTTTGGGCCGCTTTGGTTTCTAAAGAATGTGTTTACTTCTGACTGAGCAGTATAAATGTCGTAAGTTATTACTTCAAAAGCACTGAATCACCTTTATGCTGTGTTTAAAGACCACAAAAATGGTACAATCTTTTAAACTTTTAATTTACTTCAACTACCAATTAAAGGTGACCAAGCACAATTAAAGGTCAAGTGTTTGCAGGGAGTTTGAAAGCTTGCAAAACAGTTTGTGTTGTTTGGACCCTTAGAGTTTCTTACCTGAGGATCATCAATTGTCAGCCCATCTTCATAGTCGTAGGTATCCTGATTCTCCAAATTGATATTGTCTAGATCCACGTCATAGTTAGCGCTGTCGTACGTGTCCAAGTCCACTTGTCGGGAAAATCTGGGGCTGGCCACTGCCGCTCTGAGGACGAAAAGTCCAAACACGAGCCGCACAAGCATCCTCATAGTCCACCTTGACAAGACACAGAGTTGTAGAGTCAACCAAAAACATTTATAGCTCTAGATACTGTCCAGCACAGTGGAGTACAATTAAACTAGTTTGACATAGATTGTGATTTATTCCACTTAACCATGTAAAAACTGACATCACAAAACTTGCAGCGTAGGTACTTCCCTTTAAACTGGTGTATTATTACGGTACAATAGCATCTGTTGTCAGACATTAAGGCCTGCTGTGTATTACAATGTAGCTCTATACACTGTAATTGCACAACAGGACATGTCTTTATAATACCAGCTCCATAATCTTCCATAATATTGGCAGCATAACCAGTCTATAGGGCTGCAGGCCAAGGCTTGACTTTGGGTCCCATCACTAAGGTCAGTGAATTCATTACTAAGGTGCAGACAGCTCATGGGATCAAAATATGAGCGCCTCTTGCGTCACTGTAGTCAGAAACTCGCTGATCCAGAAATCAGCCATCTTGGATAAAATCAGTGCTCTTCTGTGGTGTGTCAAAGGTCAAAAGTCAGAGATTATCTGATAATGAAGCATGAGAAAGTTTCTTTGGTCTCATTTAGGCTAAACGCCTCCAAGAAATCTACATTCTTGGATTTATTTATTTTTGGTTAATAGTTTTACATGTTTTTAAAGGAGCAAAGATTTTTAAGTTGCTTATCTTTGAGTGAAACGCTGTTAAAGTGACGTTTTAATTCTTTTATTTTTGGCACTTGCTTTGATGCTTTTTTTTATTTTATTTTTTTAATTTTCCACCAAAAAGGCTTTGGCAGAAATGTGCTGAAAAATTCTTGGCAACAAACCCACAACCAGGGCACAGACAATAACTGTCTTTCTCCACTTTGAATCTAAAATTAGCGAGTATGATTTTCACTGTGTGCTGATCTACTGCGCGCTGGCCTGACCTAGATAGCTGCAGTTCATAATCTTGTTCATTTCCTCGGCAGCCCAGATCTACTAAGCTTAGCGAGGTTGATTAAGTTCATAAAAGGGAAGTGCTAATAAGATTAGCATATGTTAATTACTGCTTAATCAGCTGGCACCGCAGACTTTAGGCCTGAAGATTTTAATCAACCGACAGTAAAAAATTTCAAAGCGCACTAATAGCAGGTGTAGCCACAATGCAGCAGCCCTGAGATGTCAAGCCAAAGAAATGGCAGAAGACTTTAAAGAGAGTCCTTTAGGCCAGGGCAGAGAAATGGAGAGCGAGGGAAGGGAGGAAGAAGAGTGCAAAGGAGAGAGAGGGAGAGAGTGAGACGTAGACAAGATGTTGGCCCTCAGGGTTAGATGGAGAGAGTGAGGAAAAGACCGAGTGGGAGAGAGAGCAACAGCGAGAGAGAGAGAGAGAGAGAGAGGGGGAGAAAGTGAGAGACAAGTTTCTAAACTAACTCGACCCCTGGCCCTGTACAGAGGGCCTTTATGAGGCCCGGTCGCTGCCTGTCTCAGCACTCAAACTCCAAATTCCACCGAGGTTTGTGGACAGGATGGCAGCGAGTTACGGCTGCAAGGAAAAGCTTCATTCAGCAGTGACGGTGCTCAAACACACACACACTCACACCTACACACCTACACACACACACACACACTTGGAAAGACGCAATCCTCACACAGATGCACACTCTGTCTCAACACACCTATCTTTCAGGGAGAGAAAATTGAGAAACCTCTACTGCTATTTTTGGGATGAGGATAGATAGAAAACAAAAAAAAAACTCTTCTCAGGTTATTTAAGATATGAATCTAACATTGTTGATGCGAGAGGGATAGAATCATTATGCAAATCAGCTTCTTCATTGTCTCCAATGTGAACTTAGTGCACTCTGTTGAGAGAACTGACTGGTTGGCATTGCTACTGAAATAGACTTTCTGTCACAAGGCTATGAAATCCAGCATGGATAGACTGAAAGAAGGACTATACTACAGACAGAGGTGCGCTTTTATACAGGCCATCACAGTGAACAGTGTGTGGAAACTGTGCATGAGTGTAGCCTCCAGACTACCTCTATGTTATGCTTGGCTTCGCGTTGGGCATTCCTGATATCCAGTGATTCTACCTTTTCCCCTCAAAAGCCACAAGCAAACATGATGATGTCCCTGTGCTGCAGGTTGCAGAACGATCTGGTATTTTCGTACCACATAATGGTTAAAAAAAAGAGGTTGAAACATCCATCAAAGCAGGTGGCTAGGCAGTAAGAACAATAATTTGTGCACATGATTATGCTTTCAGAGAGTACATATGTAAAAATTGCTTAGCATATATAATTTTCGGGACAGTGTCAGAAATTGGAAGAAGATATTTGCAGTGTCTGAAACTGATTAAGAGCAGATAAATCTGTAGGGGTGTAACTCATCTTGCTTCACTTGACATTAGATCAAAACAAGTTGTAAAAAAAAAAAAAAGCAAAACAAGTCAGTGTCAGCAATGTTGTCATTTATCCAAAAAACATCTGTCTGACACTCACATCGAATTACATTTGAAGCCTGTAAAATTACCAGCCAATGCATCCCAAACAAAAATGCACAGCAAAGACATCCACATTTCAGACACCTGCAAAACTCCCAAAGCAAACCAAGGAGTGAAAAATAAAGCAGCTGCACCGCCAACTGATTAGTGCAGCGGCTCCTATTCAAGCCGTGCATGGCAGTGTTTTTTTGGAAGGGCTGGTTGAGCCACTGTGCCTGCCTAATCCCCTGCACCCAGAAGAGCCGCTCAGTCAGCATGAAGATAGCACCAAGAAACGCTTACCTCTGTCTCCTGCTTTCCCGAATGGTCCCTTCAGCCGTGATGGAGATGCTGAGGGTTCCGGGACTTGGCCAATGGTGAGAGGTCGCGCAGGGTGCCTTGAAGAGGGAGGGTGTGGTGAAGTGTATGAAAGGTGTGTGTGCGTGAATGTGACAAGTGTGTAAGTGTGTATGTGTATGTGCAGGTCTGTGCGCTCTGGCAGACCCGAGTGCCCCTGTCGCTTATGTGTGAAGGTAGGCACTGAGACTGATTGGACCAGAGCAGATTGCTTTTGGTCACTCAGAGTGCACCCACCCCACACCGCACACCCGCATGCACAACCCTCTCCAACGCTACGCGCACATACTCATCAGACACAAAGAGAAGCAGCGAGCAAAGGCCCCCCCAGTGGTGAAATACCTTTTTTTCATCCCTTACAGGAGTATCCTTTATTTTTCTAAGAGCATGGCTCAATCAGACTGAAATATTTGTCCGCCTTTTCCTGAGGTGAAACTCTGGCATGTGTTGCTTTCATGTATTGGGGGGGATCCACGGGGCCCTTGTACACAATGGGACCTCTGTGAGGAGCCCCTGTTAGCATGGTGCTGAGAGGAAGTCCCCGCTTGGAGGGAAGGCCTCTGCCCTCCCTTATGGTTGAAGCAGCTTTCTCTTTGCACCGTCACTTGCTCAATGGTCTGCTATACAAACTACAGATCTGAGTTCAGTCAAGGGAGGAGCGTGGCAGTCGGGCTGGAAGGAATATGATCTGATCTGGATTCAGAGCCTAAGACACCCAAAGCAAGTGGTTCTCGCTCAGTCCTGTGCAGATGTGCGTTCAAAGAGATGCTGTGGACACTCGTGGAGAGTCGGTTTAGTGACCATTGTTAGAAAAAATAAATCCGGACACACGCAGAGGAAGCCACGATTTCGTCTCAACTTGCTCATCTCTCATCCCACGGTAACTCTAGATCTTCTAATGAGTGAGTGGACGTGGAGGGAAAGCCAGAAATCAGTCTGCACCTGCCATATAAGCTGGGATTTATATTCAGAGCTTTTCTTCTGCCAAGCAATCATAAAAAGACCAAGAACTGAATGAAATCTTGCCCAAAATATCATATCTTGACACAATGATTGATGAATACAATACATGACATTGTGCAGTACCTGGAAAGTCCTTTAGAGTTGGTCCCCTATGTAGAAGTATTCATTACACTGAGATGGAAACTCGACACCAGCAGAAACATACTGTTAACTGAATTCTCCAGCTGAGAGATAATCTCACCATGCTCATAAATGACCCCTTCAGACTACGGCGCACAAGAGATAATACTGTTTACACATCTTTTAGATACAGCTTACAAAACACTATGTGTATATTGTACATGATGTTTGAGTCTCTGAACCCCAACACCCATTTGTGGGTTTGAAAGGCAAGTTATGTTTAAAAATGAATCATTTGAGTAGCCAAACTCATTAAAAAACAAAATAATTCTATGCTCCTTAGTGCAACCAAGAATCTTTTAGTGACTGAGCTGTTACCAACAGTTATGTGACAAAAAATCATGGACTTTTAGAGTAAACTAGGCTGAACTGCATGCTCAAGGAAGATAGGAGACAAGCATGGAAACAAGTTAAAAATCTAAGAATTAAAACAATAACGATAATTTTAACGATTTATGACACTGTAATAGTGTTATACTTGAGTTATCTCTGTTTCTGTAGGGATGCAGGAGCAAAAATGTGACAGGAGAAAAAAATGACCACAAACCTTTTCTGTTGCTTAGCTTAACTTTATCTAATATTTCCCAGTCACCTGTAAAACAGATTTCTACATGAATGAATATGGAAAAAGGTCATCCACTCATCCACATGTACAAAAGATTGGCAGTTAATGTATTTCACCCTATTTTCTTTTACATTACATTACAGCTTGTTTAGCTGATTGTGCTTGATTAGAAGCTGTAGTTTCAAGAGCGTTAGTGAAGTACTACTAAGACATTTCTTGAATCTTAATGGTGCAACGCAATTTAGTAAATCACAAATTTGAAACTGGAAAGTGTTCATTAAAGAATAACTGTGACGGATTTATTAACAACTGGTCCAGGAGGCAAAGTGTCACAGTGAACTGAAGACTGTACATGCTAATTTGAGCTTTTAATTGATTTGTTTGCAGAAGCGTTAGGATAGTTAGAGGTGGTTTCCATATTGTCACTGAGCTGCTCCTGAGGCAAACTGTGTGCTTACTTTCTAACCTAAGTT